GCTCTTTCGCCTTTGTGACTTCCCGCTGAAAGTCTTCCTCGCTACAGTAGATTTCGACGCAGACGATGGAATTCCTGGGTTGGCTTCGCCCATCGAGGGCGCCCTTATTGGCCCCAGCTTGTCGATCTCCGACGGCTTGACGTTCATCGCGAATGCGACGTGGTCGATGATGATACGGAACGCAGCCGAGGGATTCTTCAGCGCCTCATCGTAGTTTATGTCGATTGCGCCCCAGAGTTTCCATCGTCGGTACGCTGTCGCCCACGTTCTAACGGCATTCGCGAAATTGGCCGCTCGCGCGGGCATCCACCCGGCCCCAGCCGCTGATCGCAATTCGTCGTCGAGACATCGGTGACTGGTGAAAGCGATAGCGCGCTGGCAAAGCTTCATGGGCTCTTCGGTGAATTCATGCGTCTTGAACAGCACGGTTGAGTTTCGCGTCAACCGACTCAGAGAATTCGCTTCGCTGTTGTACCACAGCTCGGCGTCTCTGGAATTCATGCTAACGTGCTTCGGGTAGTCCCAATAAGACACGTGCGCGACCTCCAGGTGCAATTTTACCAACGCAGCTTTCACGAGCTTTTGTTCCCATGTGCTGCCAGCCCGTGGCATGCCCGCCAATATCACCACCAGCTGACATTCGTTACGCGGCGGCTCTGATGCTAGAGCACGCGCGCTCGAGGCAAGCAGCAGGACCAGAAGTGATAGAGGCAACAAGCACGCTGGTAGAAATCCCTCGCCCGGCCCCACGCTCGAGAATTGCATTTACGGCAGTACTAGAAATTTGGGGCGCCGATACAATTTGGGACAACCGTTCACGATTGGATGGAAGATTAATCTTATACGGTCCGCTCAATCTTGGGCCGCTCAAACCGTTCATTCACAGGGAAAAGATCGGAGATCTCAATAACTTATTATTGAAGGAAAATGCGAACATGAGAGCCGCCTACTTCAAGGCAGTCACCGAGGAAATGTCCGCTCTTTCAAAGTTACCACCTGGGTTTGTTAACTGAAATTCAATTTTCTTCTCGTAGCACACTCCGTCCTTGTCTCCTTGACAGGGTGCTGTGACTGACATAATGTCAGCATTCTTGAATCTGTTCACCAGACTGGTTCCAACATAGTAATTCCCCATAATATTGTTACCACGCTGAAGAAGTCGAAGTTTTTCGATATTGTCGTCGATGAACAGCCGCTCAGCGGCATCTCCGGGATGCCCCGTACTGCCGTTTCTATTCATCTATGATTTTTTTCTTCTGTCTGAGTTTTTGGCGTTTACGAACACCACCGCCTCAAGCTCGCCGCGCTCGGGAGACGCGCGGGCGTCGACGTCATCTTCGTCGTGCCGCGACGCGACCTGCAGTTGAAGCGGATCAATGGCTCGGTCGTGAAGCGCCTCGCGGCCGGCGGCGTCGACGTGCACATCTCGG